TATTAAATCTATCTTGAATTTTAGAATATTTAATTTTAAAGCCTTGATTCATGATTGTTGATTCTAAAATTTTATTCACTTAAGCTGACCCTAATTACGAATAATTCTGCCTTTTATAGTTCTTTATTTTGAATATACTTCTTTATATTTTAGCAGGATTGGTTTTTTCGATCACTGTCTTCAGAAGTTATTTCTTTGGTATATTCTGGATAGAGGGTTACTCATCTGATTCAAATATGATATATATCATTTATCTTTCTTGATCCAAAAATCTATTAAAACTTCTTCACATATGATTTGTTTTGTTTCTTAATCATCATATCAAAACTCATAACTTTCTGAAAATAGAAGTAGTAAACAATATTGATCTTTTAGAAAAGATAAGCCAAATTTCTAGGGAAGTTACGGAATGCCGTAAAATACAGAAATAGTAAAAAAAGGAATGATTTTTAACGTTATTTTTTTAAGGTTTCCATTTACTGATAATCGTCAAATCTACAGTTAAAAAACACTCATACATCTTGTGCTACGTTAACAGTCCTTTTCGTTTTATTCTGGCCAAGTCTAATAGAATGTATGATACTGATGGTGATTCGGCCACGATCGTATCTGAAGATGCACCTGGTGAAAGTTCGCAAGAAAATGTGAACCGTGATTTAAATCATGCTTACGAAGAAATTTTTGGTGGTGAATTATCTGATGTTGATACGTGTTCTGTATGTGATCAATTTGATATCGAGATTACTTCATCTTTTCCTTCAATCGATGTAAGTGATCTCTTTGGATTTAAAACCATCAACGAATCGGTCATCAGAGCTCTATATTATAAACTTCGTGAATACCGTCTTTACGAAACGATGGCGATATTGATCAAGCATAATAAATTGAAATTTGAGAAATATGAAATACCTATAGTCGTTCAGGATATGATCAAACGCGGTGGTGTTAAAGATTTGAAACATGTTAGACAGGTCTTTCATAAAGAAGTAGAACAAAGACAAAAATGGGCTAAATGAAGGTTCAGTAGAATGTTTTTCTAGGTTCTCTAGATTTGTTGGCCATTATTTTGGTTGTTTTTGGACATTCTCGGTTTTACGCCCTTTGAATTTTTTGGATATTCTTTCTGTATATTTTTTTTTGTTGATTAGATATGCATTATTATGAACCTTACTGCACTAAGAAAAAGATATCATTCATTTGTTTCTACATATTTTACTTTAATGGGATTATTATAAGCTAATGTAGATGTTTATACATCAAGTGTTAATGATAGGCGTTAAATTGTAGCAATTATCTATGATAGGAAAGGAGGGAAGGAGTCATGCATGCATGAACATTTTTCATCCCTAGGGATAATGTTGTTTCATCAGTGGAATAATTTTATTCAACAAAGGGATGCATAAACTTTTTGGAACTACAATATGTTTCAAGCCTCCAGATTAAAAGATCACGAATATTAATACAGTTTTTAGTATATAGAAAATTTGATTGTTTTTCTTAAATGGAGAAAGCACTTATGCGAGATGCAATTTTTGTACTATACTTCCAGATGGTTTAAGAGTAAACCTGTGTGTGTGGCAATATCGTGATTTACTATTTATAGTTTCAAAACACCATCCTAGTCATATGACTATTTATCTAGTATATATTAGATTTATAAACAGTTTTCTTTTTTTAGGATAATTACAGTTCAAACCACTTAAATTTTAGTGTTATCACTTTGTTCCTACCATTTATACTAAGATCTAATTAATAAATTAACTCTAATTAATGAATTAATAGTTTTTTTTGATGCTGTTTGAAACGAAAAGATATTTGATTATAAATATGACATACTATGTTGTTATAGACATGATATAAAAATGATGTTATAAACATGATGTTAAAAGTTCATAAATTTATTAAATAAAAATATCTATACGAAAACTAAAGGTAGTAAAATGTCAATTTGACCTAAATCCATTATTTTACAAATTAGATAAAATAGATCAAATAAAAAAATGCTTAATTAACCTTAATTTAATGCCTAATCATCATTATAATACTGAACTTTGGGCTGATGTGTTGGTGAAATAGGAACAAATTCCAATTCTTCATCTACAAGTAATCCCTGTTTTTGTAAAGCAAATATATCCGAACTAGGACGAGAATGCGATCGTGTTGTATTAAACCGGTGTGATGGTGATTCAGGTGAAGATAGATTAGAGCTTGAGTCTGATCCATTCTCATCATCATCAATTTGTTGGTGTCTGAATGGTTCTCTTTCAGAACTACTACTGCTTTGATTTCGTGATTTACCTGAAGGTGATGCCATACGGCTAAACCTCTTTATTCCTCGTCGACGACTCAGGCTGTTAGTCACAGAGTGGTTATCTTTTGGTGAACTTGTTCCACTGTGATTATCTTCTTTTGATGGATTTGGACGAGGCCCGATTGGTCGAGAAATTGGGCTTTGTGGTGTAAATGGTCTTGAAAATTCAAAACTTTCTGATGAACTAAGCCTAGATAATTTATCACGTAATAATGCAGAATGTTCTGCACCGTAGTTCACAGAATCACCTCTGGATCTTGTCACGTCAGTAACTTCGGGTATTTTATCATCAATTTGGATTTCATATTCATCATTGACTTCACTTTCTTGATCTTCTTCAACAGTCATCATTGAGGTTGTAACAGAATTTGTCGTGATACTATCTCTGAAACTATCTCTGTTATTAGAAAAGTTAGACCGACTTGACCTGGCTGAGTGAATGGATTCACGACTTTCCGAACGTTTCATAACCTCAGCAAGCTCAGTATCAATGCTTGAGGTGGAATTCTGTTGGTTAAAAATTTTGTCATGATGAATTATCAAATCCTTGACTAGACGATATGGATGCCTATCATTAAGATACACCATTCCCACACTTTTTTCGTCATTTTTTTCCTCGAGATTTGGATATAATAATATATATCCATAAATTTGTGCAAGCGTCGTAATATAGACATCATCCGCTTCTACCGACATTATAAGGCTAAAAGGGATATAGCAAAAATATCAATTAGAATAATATATATATATATATATATATTTATAAAAAAAGCATAACTACCTATTCAAATGTGATATAAAAACATTTAAAGTTTCATAGTTCCTTGGCGGAAGTGACGTAACAAGTTTTGAAATAGTTGCTATGCGCATGTCATCATCCTGCTCCTCAAGACCTGATAATAGAATTCAAAGGCATTATTTTAATTAAAATGTTCATATGCAGTTTTTTCGTAATTATTATGGCATACTAACTCAATGAATATAACAGCTTTACAGGATCGTAAAGCTTAAACGTAAGTAGACACTCTGGTAGTTCCATAAAGTACAATTTCAATACTCCAGTAACTATAGCCAAGTCATATTCTCGTAATTTCCTTAAAGTAACCTTGGAACCTAATTCAAAAAAAAAATTGAGATTCCAGGAAAAAAAAAAATATATATTAAAGTTCATATTATAACATATATGTTCTATGTACCATCATTAATTTCTTCACGAAGAGCATGAACTGCGGCTAAAGGTACATTCGTTACCCATAAAAGTTTTTTATCTTTATAATAGGAATATGTATAAGTAAATAACTTGGACCCTGGGATTCAAAAATAGCCATTTATATATATATATAATAATAAAATATACCTGAATTACACCACCCGGATGAGCCTACATAATAATATAGTCAAATTTATTTAAATGATTTATTCCTTTTTTATATTGACAGAAATTTGGAATCGGTTTTAGTTTTCATATGCTAAACCGGTTTTAATCGGGCTTTAATCGGATATTAATAATCGATATAAAAAAATCAAACCGGTTCCAAACTTTATTATAATAACTGTGGCAGATTAAAATGAAATGAGCGATAGTGTAAATAGACAAGCCACCGAAAAATACAAATTTTTGGGGTGCATTTTTTTAGCATTTTTTAGGGTTAGGATTAGGGTTTAGAAGCAGGTTTTATAATAAACAAGTATAAATGGGTTTTAGAGGGTCAAATAGAAACCCCTCATTTCATTTTAATCTGATTTCATTATGATCTGCGACAATAACTAATTTATTTCATTTACCTTTAGTAATACAACGAAGACATTTGGTAACAATTTGAGGAACAACTTTTAAATCTTTTTGAGCCTTTTCATCTAGTGGAACTCCAAAAGTTTGGTCTATAAAAATCATTTTATCATTGTTTAAAATTATATACAATTAAGCATTAAGTTATTAATTGCAAGGTTAAAATAAATAAGTACCACTAGCGCTTCCATAATATTTATTAGTATAAAGAACGACCTTAGGGTTAAATGGACCGGTACGATAATGCTGTATAATAAATTGGATCTCTTTCTCAGGTTTTAATGCTTCATGATATATCAGTAAACGTTCTGACATTAGTTGAGCAGGAGAAATCACAGTGGTACATGTGGTAGAATAATTTAGAAAAGCTGTTTTTAAAAATATAATAACTTGTTTGAGTTTTAACTTCTTTAATGTATGAAAACAATATTAAAAATAAAGTACTGAAAATATATAATATACCTGTTTTTGAAGCTTTTATACGGTCGAATTCACGCCTTTCCATAAGGTTCATTTGATCCATCTATTATTAAAACAAACAGCAAATATGTTGAAAACTCAAACTTTATTAAAAACTAATACTAAATGAAGTTTATGCAGAAACATACCATAGATTCTTCAAGAAATAGCCGAGTTCTGTCTAATCTATTAAATAAGAAATTCATTACATTATATAAGGATATATATATATATAAAAAGACATAAAAGACCCAAATATTTCTTAGAAATCAACCTTCTTACTGCATGACGATAGGCTTCATCAGCTTCATTGGCTTCTTTTCGAAAACGTTTTTTTTCTGAAGGTTGATTAGTTGAAATTGCATATATCAACCCATTCCAACCTATTCCAGCGTTAACTTCTTCGGTATCTCTGAGATTAAATGCTTTATTCTTGAATTGAAAATAAGCAACAGGAGTGCTAACAAAATAATTTCCAATAGCACCAATGTGCTTTAGGAAACCTTGATCAGCCAATTCCTGACCAATATTTTCAGCATCCTCCCATGATATTGTATTAGGATGATTTCTTGTTAGCCAATCTGTAATATCTTCACCAGAATAAGCATCGTTATAAGTACCAAGAAAAGGTATTTTAATTTCTTTAGAAGGAATTTCTTCACGCATTTTTGCAAGAAATTGCATTATTTCTTCCTCCGAAAACAAATGTTTCCCAAGTGTGACAGTTAATGATTGGTCTTGCTGTATATCTTTTTCTGATATTGAACGAGTTTCTTCTTCATAAGCCGAAATTTTATCAGCTTCATCAGCCAATTGACACTTTGTTATATAATTAGTTCGAGATTTCTCCACTTCATTAATCAATTTATCAAATAATTTTAAATAACCCGTTATTTCTTCTCTACTTGCTCTGAGACTTTTACTATAATCTTCACTTTGTTTGAGAAAAGGTTTAAGCACTAAATCTGACAAGTTATTAGCCATTTGTAAATGAGCTTGTCCTATTTGGTCACATTCTTGTTTTACAATTTCAAATGAACGTCGTAAAGAAGCCCCATCATCACGTTGAAAGCCATTCGGTCGACTACTTATTTGAGAAAGATCACACAATTTCTTGCCGTATAATTCTTCTACCGCTATCCTTTCCTATAAGTGAAATATTTGTTAATTAAATTTTTAGTAATAATAAATAAATATATGTATATATACACATATATATATATATGGGAGAAAAGGAACAAATCATTTTTAGTACAATTTTTTTAAAATTTAAATTAAAATATCTTAACAACTATCTAATCAAATTTGATAAAATTTTTTTTATTTTAATCTTAAAATTATATAGAATTAAAATAAAAAAAAAATTATTAAATTTGATTAGGTAGTTGTTGAAATATTTAAGTTTAAAGTTAAGAAAACTTTTACTTAGAAAAAATTTGTCCCTTTTCTATTGACTCCCCAATATATATATTATACGTATCTAATTTAAATATTCAGTTATAGAAATAATACAAACCTTAAGAAATTCTATGATTTCATCGTTTTCTACATTACCTTGATCTAATTTATCATACAGAATATTAATCCCCTTTTGATAATTTCCTGCTGTCCAAAACGAATTTTCAAATTTTAACTGAACGACCATTTGATATAAGTATTTAAAAGTGTATTATTATATTATAGCGGGTATCCAAGATTAGCACAAATCAATTGTGCAAAAAGTATAATCGTTAAATGAAGAGAAGTCTGAATATTCAATATATATGTTGGAAAATTGCTATAAAAATCCTATAAAATCGACAGAAAATCGGTAGAAAATCGTTAAAACGGATCGTCAGATATTTAATGTAATATGGTTTACAAACGATACCTTGTCGTATTTTACTCAATCGTGAATATTCAAATACAGACTTATGGAATGAGAAAAGAATATTATAAGTTGGAGTATTGATTAAAGAACGTATAAATGTAATATATGGAATTGAAATGCGTATTTTAGAACTTAAAGATTTATTTATATTAAAGAATTTAACATGACCTTTAAAAGGAAAATACGTAAAAAAGCCAGGCTCCCCATCTTACGGTGTACGACCATGTACTTAGTGATCTTTTCCATAATAATTATTTTTACATATATCCAAAGTTTAATGTTGTGTTTTTTTACTGTCCTATTTTGTGTTATAAAACTTGCCAAATGTTACACGAATAAATTAAATCCTGTTACTAACAAGTGTGTACAGTTTTCAGTTTTTTTTTTATTTGCTCAGTCGATTGCAGTACCCCCCCCCCTCGAATTACGAAAAAATGCCGAGTCATGTGATCAAAATCACAAATGCCTATATACGCATTATTTGTCCACAATTTCAGGTTAAATAACCTGTCTTTAGATAGGCTATTTCTTTCCAAGGAATATGTCACAAACTCGAGACTTTTATTGATCATTCTTAATTTGCTTAGATCCATTGTCTACTTAAGGATTTTTAATATAATTAGATTAATTAATAACAAATCCTTGGCTTATTTTAATTTACTAATTCGTATGTACTAAATAATTGCTAACGTATACCTACATGGCTCCGGAAAAGTTCTACGTAGAGGTTTCGAATGGATAGGGCGGATAGACCAGATGACCTGTCAACAAAAATATTGTTTCACTAGGCATTGTCTAGATCCAAACTCCAGGATCTGGATATATTAATATGGCTCAAATATTCAATTCAAACACAAAAAAGTTTCGTTATTAGAAAGTTTAAATAGTTTTACTATGATGTCATTTTATAGATACAATTGTAATTATTTCCGTTTGTTATGTTCAAAAAAGCGCGTTGTGTATATGTTTGTTCCGCCTTATTTAGAAATTATATATTTAGAGTTAGCTATGTTGATTTATGTTTCTTATCTGGTTACTTGGTGTGACGATTGATACTTTTTAACCAAATTTTCAATTTTGTAAATGCATAAGAAATTTCTTTTCTTCTTTGTGTTGCCTTTAGTGAATTAAACTGTGATCGGGTTAACTCATAAATTTGCATATTCACAAAAAGATAATTCGCAATATCATGATTGGCCTTACACTACTCAAGTCTCCAATTTTTATTATTCGTACGTACCTTTTCTATGCAAAATATTACATAGGTGGGGGTACGAATAGCAAAATGAGTGGTATAAATAGCGATCTCCTTTATACTTGACTCCGGCTTAGCTGGAGTTCAAATAAGTTGTGTAATAGCTAATTACTATATAATTTAAAACATATAAAACAAATCAAACTCGCTGATAAATGTGTTAGTATTAAAAAAGTTTACTAATTAGTACAATATACACTAATTTTTTATCGCTGTTTTCGAAATGGTGTTCACTCGTACACTCATATACCCGTACACTCGATTACCTTAGTGTAATTGTTCAGAACAATTACACAAAATCGGGCATCGATCTTAAATCAGCGTGCAAAGGTAATCGAGTGTACGAGTATACTCCAAAAAAAAAATTCGAAAACAGCGATAAATTAATTATGCTAAAAAAAGTTATATATGTACGTACGCACGCAAATGGCATCTACTTATAGTAAACTTGAAATTGTTACGTAATGACTTTTTTAAAACCAGTTATAACAAAAACACATTAACAAATTAATAGATTTTTTGCTAAACTATATTTTTGTTAGAGATATTTTTAAAAAAGTTAGTATTAGATAAAAGAAAGGTAGAAGTAAAATTATCTGGTGTTTATATTAATTAATTATAATTAATTACAAATTACCAAAAAAAGTTTTTTTTTAATAATAAAAAAAAAATTTATTACACTATATATTATGTATGTATTATTAAAAATTTATAAGTTTAGATTGTGTTATATTTAGTAACATTTATGCTTTTTAATTATAAACTATTAATTTTTTTTTGTTTTTGCATTTGCTATATAAATTTATAAGATTATTAATAGTTGTTGAATTAGGTTTAGATTTGCTAGGATACATTATTTTATATAAAACAAATATTTGCAGTTTGTCGTAATGTTCAGTGCGTTCTCCGAAAGCATTTATATTAAATTACATACTGTATATAATACAAGTCACTCTCGTTATAGTGAACTCTCGATATAGTGAAGATCTTGATATAGTGAAGAATTTTTTTTAAATTCATTGCCATTATTATTAACTTTTCTCTCGATATAATAAAGTTTATATACCGTAAATTCTCGAAATAACGGGTATCTGCGCGTTATTTTGAATACGTGCGCGTTATTTTGAGTACGCCCATGGGCGTTATTTTGAAACAAATATAAAATTATATATATTTTTTATATAAAAAGTAAATAAATAAAAATGCTCCGAAACTAGGTTTGGTGCTAAGTAAATATACTTTCGTGCTTTAATTAAAGTTGTTGTTCAGACGGTTCTAATGGTAGTAAGTTCATTAAAACGGCCCAGTATATCGTCCGCAATGGCTCTTCGAAGGTTTGTAACGTTTGTTTATCTTTGTTTAGGGGAGCCATTGTGAATGATATACTGAGTCGTTTTTGATAACTTACCACTATATTAGAACCATCTCGATCTGAAGAACAACTTTTGTTAAAGCTCAAAAGTAGATAAATCTAGTTCCGAAGCATTTTTTAAATTTTACTACCACTTACTATTAGATGCGCGTTATTTCGGGACGTTATTTCGAAACCACCTATGCTATTTTTAGGGGGCGCGATTTTCGAATTAACGCCCCTGCCCGTTATTTCGAGAATTTACGGTAGTATTCTCTCGATGTATGCTATAGTGAAGATTTTTTTTCTCAGCCCGATCCCTTCACTATAACGAGAGTGACTTGTAGAATGTTGCTATTTATCATCAGTGGCGATATCACTATATGGTGTCTTTGCCTTGAAAATCACGTTATGGGACATATGATTTACTATAACGTGATTTTCAAGGCAAAGACCCCATATCTCAAAAACCTACTAGCTAACTCATGTCAGAGGTACCAAGTAAAAATATTCAGGACCCCCAAAACCTACCCATAACTAAAATTTGGAACTTTATATCTAACCCTAATCTTGGTCTAAAATTGCATCCTATCCCTAATTTTGATAAAAAAACAATTAAGATGTGGCGTATCGTAAATATATAATATATATATTTAATAAATATACTGGTACATAATTAAAGGTACATACGTACATCATATACGTAGAGAGCATATGGAGAGATTAATAAAGGCTAGACTTTTCATTCATACAGTGTAAGAAAATGTGTTCCATTGTTCTATTACACGCAAACAAATGCACCACTTGCTAACCTTAATTATCTATACGTATGGTATTTTGCTATATATTTAATTATACCCTATATATTTAAACTCAATTATATATGTACGTATCATTAAGACAGTTCTATTTGAGGCAATATTAAAAAAAAAAAGGGATATGAAATGTACGTAGGTTCGTATTCAATAGCGTTTGAAGAATTTTTTAGTTGATTAGGAAATATGAATACCACTACGTACAAGCTTGTTAAGGCTTTATTTGAGGCTTAATTTGGCAAACTAATCATCAGAGAGATGTGCATATAGATTTCACGTGCTGACTGTTACAAAATAAATGATTAGATCGATTATATAGAATATTTAATTCTTTAAAATGAACGGTAATCCACAAGACGATAACATTGAATTTGTCACGACACCGTCACCTTCATTTCTTTGTCCAGTGTAAGCAAATATTATGAAAGTCTCTTTTTTTAATAAAAAAAATTGATAAAAGTAGCATATTTATAGTTGTCACGATGTATGCCGGGAGCCTCAGATCACACGTGTATGCAACCATTCATTTTGTGCAGCTTGTATATATCAAAGTTTAGAGGTGGAACCTTACTGCCCGCTTTGTCGGAGTCGGTTAAAGGTTGAGGGTTTGTGCCTTTATTTCTTGTAAAGGGCATTTTTGAAGTTTACTACTCATACAATAATTTTCGTTATTTATTCGGGTTTTTTTAGATCTTCATCCCAATTTAGCTTTAGCTGGGTTGATCCAAGAACTTCTTGTATATTGCGCAAATAAACGTTATGGCTGTCCTGCGCATGTACGCCTTGATTCTCATAAACATCATTTATTGTCTTGTTCTTTTGCTCCAACATCATGCCAGAACTCTCAATTAGGATGCGATTTCAAAGGTGCGATATTAACATAAATGATTTTATTCTTAAAAATATTGTAATCTATATGTTTAATTTTTTTCAATGACAATAATAGGAACTATAAATACTGTTAAAGATCATATTGAAGTTTGTGTTTATGAGAAATTTAAGAATTATATTCAAAAAAATAATGCTAGAATTGAACAATTGGAAAAAACAATAGAGGTATATTTATTTGGTTCTTTAGAACTTATATAAAAGTTCAATTTTTAAATGGCATAAATTTAATAGACATTTACGAGTTTGAATGTTTGAGGGAAGCCAAATTTAGGTAATGCTATTTACCTTTAACCTCCTAGGAACAACAACGTAAATTTGAAAAGTTACTATTACTAGTGAAAAAATCAAAATCCGAAATAGTGGTAAAAATGCGTGCAAATTTTATTGAATATACCTTTTTCATTATAATAATCTGATGTGATGCATTTTATTCATTTATGTAATAGTCGTCTGTAGACCCTGTTACTATTAATGGTAATGGTATTGATTATCATCAGTTAGGGGAAGATGATGAGATAGATGTAGGTTTTAGATTTCTGTTTGATTTATTTTATTTTGCTCTTTTAATAATCATTAAATAATCATTAACTAATGATAATAAATAATATTCATTAACTAATTATAATAAATATAGACATTCCCACTTGGTGAAATGACTTGTCGACGGACCATATCTGAACATACTTGTGGCGTTACATCACTCGCATATGACAAAGGTTTGATTTATGCTGGTGCTCACGATGGGTCGGCAAAGGTTGCTATCATGATCTGCAAATTTATTGAATCATTTTTTTCATCCTAAATGTGACTAAATGTGACTAAGAATGTATGTAATTAAATTACAAGATATTCAAAGCGGATTCTGGACGAATGGTTAAAGATTTACATGGACATCAAATGTCTGTTTGGGCTTTGGCTGTGAGTCCAGAGAATGAAAGATTTTTTAGTGCGGGGTCTGATGGAACAATTAAAGTAAGCATGCGCTAATTATTTAATGGATAATATCCCTTGCATATTCATAGATTTATAACCATATTTATTTACGTTAGGTATGGGACTTGAAGGAGGATACATCTGATAATTTTATTAGTACTTTGACTCAACATAAAGGAAAAATATATGGATTAGTTGTTAGTGGGAATAGACTTTACTCTGCTTCGTCAGATAAAACCATCAAGGTCTGGGATCCTGTTACATTGGAAAATATATCAACATTCACTGGTCATTCGGATGGTGTAAATAATTTGATTGCAATTGACAGTGGAAAATTGGCAACTGCGGGAAGTGATAATACTGTTAAGGTAATCATGTAAAATTTTTAGACTTTTTTTCTATTTAATCTGAATTCTTAAATTTGTTTTTATAGATTTGGGATACGACAACAGGTACATGTATTCATACAATATCTTCTCATTCGTCTGAAGTTTTGGACGTTGCATCAGGTGATAATCTTTTGTTCGCCTC